TCCAGCCTCCTGAACGTGACTCCCTCCATGTGCAGAGAGGTCCTGAAGTATGCCTGGTTAGGAACAGAAAACCGAGGAAGGCCAGTCCCAGCTAGGCTTCAGCCCTTTGCATTCAGTGTCCATATACAAAAGTGCAAGGGATCAGATGCAGGCAACTTCGGAGGAATCTCGGTGAGAGGAGGTCGCAGACAGAGTCAAGGTCAGCAACACCACCCAGAGGGTGACACTAGATGATGGGAGGCACTTTTGAATTCAGACCCGCTCTCTAAGACAGAGGTCACCAACTGGCAGCCTGCTCACTGGACCAGCACACACACATATTTTATTTGACCCACTCAGTGGTTTTAAATTATTTGAAACTAGAGAACATCACATAAGAATCCAAAATTTCTAAGTCTCTTAGAAAGTTGTCACCACCAGGCCCACATCCCACAAGGTAGTGACTGACTGGAGATGTGATCGCCCCTTTAGGAAGGGCAAGGACACTCCTATCTCTACCCTGTTGTCTCCCAAAATCCTGCCATCGCTGACATTTGTCAGCGAGCTTGTACTGGCTGCTGTGCTTCTCATGGAAGAGAATGACTCCTTTCTACCCCTGCCAATCAAATGGAAAAATAAAGCTCCATGTGGCTGCATGATCTTCCTTCCCTCTCTCCCTCCCTTTCTCCATCCCTCCCTCTCTCCCTCCCTCTGTCCGACCCTCCCTCCGCCCGTCCCTCCCTCCCCACCTTTCTCTCTTTCTTTCTTTCTTTCCTTCTTTCTGAGACAGAGTCTTGCTCTGTCATCCAGGCTGGAGTGCAGTGGAACGATCTCAGCTCACTGAAACCTCCACCTCCTGGATTCAAGCGATTCTCCTGCCTCAGCATCCCAAGTAGCTGGGATTACAGGTGACTACAACCACGCCCAGCTAATTTATGTACTTTTAGTAGAGACAGGGTTTCACCATGTTGGCCAGGCTGGTCTTGAACTTCTGACCTCAAATGATCCACCCGCTTTGGCCTCCCAAAGTGCTGGGATTGTAGGCTTGAGCCACCACTCCGGGTCAGCTGCACTTAGCCTGCTTCACTCATTTCCATTACTTCCCTGACCCCAGAAGCGACAGGAATAAATTTTATACATTTCAAATATATTGAGAATTGATAAACAGCAATCACTGGCATAGCCCCATCAGATAAAATATTGAAATAATTCTGTATTTATTGGTACATTACCACTGAGGGCCTCCCCTGAGGCTAATCACAGTCTCCGGCACTTCCAGTCCTCTGCAGTGATGCAAGTCAGAGGATAACTTCCACACGCATTCCCACCCTCCCAGGATGATGCGGCAGCTCAGGAGTTAAGGCCTGGCACTGTGGCCAGCAGCCCTGTCTATCTGGCCAGTGCCCCAGCTGAACCAATTGTCCATGTATTGCATCTCACCCTTGAAAACACTTGACAGTTATCTTACTTTGAATTCCCCCAGAAGCAGACTCTGAGACACAGATCTGGGTACAGGTCATTTATGCTGGATGTGAACTCAGGAGGCAACAATAAGAGTGAGGAAGTGAGACCAGGAAGCGAAGGTAAGACAGGGGGTGTCGTTGAGCAAGTTACCAGAGTTGGACAATGGGAGCTTGAGCCTGCTGGGGACTTGTGAGAGATTGCATAGAGCATATCTCAGGGCTCTTCCACCTGAGAGGGGAGGCAGCTGAGAATTTACCCACCAGCTCCATTTGTCATTGGTAGAGAGCTGCTTCCAAGGGCATTCACTCCCTGCCACTTCTGGTCTGGACTGTGTTCAGCTGAGAAAGGCTGCCAGGCAGGTAGAGAGGTGTGAATGCTTATAGCAGGTAGCTGGTGGTGTGCACTGAACAATCCGCTGAAGAAGCAGGCAGGTCTGACGAAGTCTGCTGCAGCTGTAAAAATTACTGATGCTGTGCACGGCAGGCAAAACTGCTTTCCAGGTGGTAGGGGATCCCCAGGCATGGAGGTTTACCAAAAGGAGTCTGGCTGTGTTTTTTCTGGATGGTTTGTTTATGTGAGATCCCACGATTCTCTGGCTCCTGGATTGCTTATTTACAGAGATTTGAGAATTCTCCTGGCCGGAAAAAAAAAAAAAAAAAAAAGAACATGGAGAAACTTCAACATTCAACATTGTAGGAAAATTTGGCTCCACAAACATACCATCGACTCATCGCCTGCTTCCTGCTAATCTAACCATTTTCAAATTCCCCTTCGCAATTGCTGCAATCAAGTTATTATCAATCATACTATCAATTGCTTGCCCCGCTCTAGGATGTAGGTTAAATATTCTTGTGTCAGTGGAACGCTACATCCTAGATTTTCATTGAAATCTAATGACTTTCATCTTCAAAGAAACTGTTTGGAGCTAGCGCTGCATCCCCACCCCTGCTGATTTAATTACAGCACTTCATACATTTCGCATTCTGAAGATAAACACCGTGTTCAGCATTTCTCCCAGGGAGATGCTTTTCAAGGGATAATGTTCCTAAAGTGCCCACTCCAGAAAGAGGATGGCTCATCACCTCAACCTTATGAATGTGTATCTGGCTTCTGGTAAAATGCAGCCAGGAGGCTTCAGCCTCCTCCCAGCTGGTGCCTCCCTGTGCTAGGTCCTGGTCCTATGCTCCAAACAGCCACAGAAGGAGTCTTGGAGATCCAGGCTAGAAATAATACCAGATCACTGAGTGGGTACTTCCGGGAAGTAGAACATTTGGGTATTTTCAAAGCCTTGTTATATGTTTAATGCATGCTTCCTCAATTTTCCCACCATTTACTGAACATTCATTTAACAGGTATCACACCACCACCAAGTCATCAAGACCTGGAGAAGGTGGGAGAAATTTAGGAAAGATAGTGGAAGAGGGAGATGAGTGCCATTTGTGGTCCTGAGATCAATGGGTGATGGGGGTTGTAGCTCACCCTGCCACCTCCTTTCTTCTAAGTGTCCCCTCGGAAAGAGAGGCCTGTGGGAACTATGAATGCCTGTCATGTGCCAGGTACCATGGGGACAGCAGTAGATAATGCAGGCATCCTTTAAAGCATCCTGTCGGCATGAACTTCATATTTCAAAGGAGCAGTGTCACACACACACACACACACACGGAAATATAACACAATCACTAATTAGGATCAGATCCATGAAAGGGAAAAAAGAAGCCCACGGTAGAGAAATACAGAAGGGAAGGTATTAGGAGTGCTGGACAGAGAAGATGCACCAACTGGGGTCTTCTGAGAAGGAGATGTCAAGACAGGAGTGGATGTACAAGAGATTTATTAGGCAGAATGCGGATGAAGGATAAAGGATGAAGGAACAAGACAAGATGGAGAGAGTCTTCAGGCTGCAATGCATATCTGACACCTGGGAAAGGAGGGTGAGAAGGAGGAATTGAGTAAGGAGAATCTCAGATACAGTAGAGCTCTAAGAAAGACTCAGTCCGGCTCATGAGGACTTCTGAGAAAGACTTGGCCAAGTTCATGGGTAGTACCTGAACAACGCAGATGCACATCAAGCAGGAATGGTCCAGCCCTAGAACCCAAACACCAGGTCCTCTTGAAGGGAAAGCCGAGCAGGGCATTTCTATGACCTCCACAGTCCACCTCTTGCTTTTATAGGTCCACTTCCCATGCATGTTTGGGAAGTTCCCATGGGCCTCTCTTCCTGAGGGGACACTTAGAAGAAAGGAGGTGGCAGGGTGAGCTACAACCCCCATCACCCATTGATCTCAGGACCACAAATGGCACTCATCTCCCTCTTCCACTATCTTTCCTAAATTTCTCCCACCTTCTCCAGGTCTTGATGACTCCTTGGTGGTGTGAAGCAACCCTTTATTGCTGAGGAGTCTGAATTCTTGGTAATCATACATTTCTTTTTTTGTTTTGTTTTGTTGTTGTTTGTTTAAAACAGAGTCTTACTCTGTCACCCAGGCTGGAGTGCAATGGTGTGATCTCAGCTCACTGCAACCTCTGCCTCCCAGGCTCAAGCCATCCTCCCATCTCAGCTTCCCGAGTAACTGGGATTACAGGTGCAGCATCATGCCTGGCTAATTTTTGTATTTTTTGTAGAAACGGGGTTTTGCCATGTTGCCCAGGCTGGTCTTGAACTCCTGGGCTCAAGTGATCTCCCCACCTTGGCCTCTCAAAGTGTTAGGATTACAGGCATGAGCCGCCATATTTGGCCTTATCATGCATTTCTTATGTTGTGTTTTCTGCATGTGTTTTTTCACAGTTACAATGGGGAAAGGGAATACCAAATTCCACACATATTCCTCTCCATCCCCGCTGCATACTAGCAGCCCTATCCCTTACTGATGACAGGATCAATTATCCCTGCCATGGTGGTGACTCCTCTCTTACCTGCTGGCCCCTGGCTACAAGGTATTTAAAGCACCCTGGTAGCAGTGGTAGTTTTGTAATTCAGTGAGGGCTCTTGCTGTGTCCCTGGCAAGAGTATATCCTCTTTGGGAACCAAAATCTTTAATCCCAGCAGAGTCCACAGTTGGGAGGATGGAAAGCATAAAGTCCCCTGCAGAGTCAGTGGGAATAACGTTAAGGGACACTTCCGTTCCTTGGTTCCTGAGTCCATGTACTTTTCCCATCTGAGACCCAGGGATCTCTGATAGAACGTGTATATTGCATTCTGAAGGATGGCATCTGATGCTTGCCTTCAAGCTGGCACTTTAGTTGTGCATTTGGGAGGCCATTCTAGCATTCTGAGGCCAACTCTTTCTGGATGGTATGGTATATGATACAACAAGTAGACTATGGTCACTGACTCAATTTTACACCTCCTTCACTATAAAATGGGTTTCCTAGACAGATGCTACATTCTGTGGGATTCCAAGTCTGTGAATCAAAAATTCTATAAATCCCTGAATAGTTGTGCTAGCTGAGACTCTGCAGGTAGAAAGGCAGAACTATACCTGTAATAGGTATCTATCCTGCTAAGTTTTAACCACTGGTTCTTCTAGAATAGAAGGGTCCCAATGTAGTCAACTTGCTACCAAGTGGCTCAGTGGTCTCCTTGAGGAATAGCACCAGATCTAGAGGCTCAGTATTGGTCCATGGTGCTGGCAAGTTAGGTATTCAATGGCAGAAGTAGCTAAATTGTCTTTCCTTAGTGGAAATTCATGATTGGACCCATACTATCCTTTGTCTCTACAATCATGGCTATTCATTTGTCCATTCTGCCAGTTCTGGGATGGCCAATGATGAAGGTTTGTTAAAATCAACTGGCTAAGTCGTTTTGTCTTCTTAGTTATTCAGTGACTCTTCTGTGGTAGATAGCTTCTGGTCAGAGTTAATATGTGATAAAAAATCTTCAGAGTTTACACCAATGTCCATATGTCCATACACATGTCTCAGCTTCAGACCATCTTGTCTCCAATCCTTTTATCTTTTTCCTCCCAGGACTCTGACCAGTCAGCCAGGCCATTAGCTTCTGTCCAGGAATCTTTATACATTCTCAACTCAGGCCACTTCTCCTTCCTTTGAAAGATAATTTTTCTGGGTATAGAATTCTAAGTTGATATGTTTTTTCTTTTGTTTTTTTAAAAAATACTGCTCCACTATCTTCCTACTTGCATTATTTCCAACAAGAAATCTTTTGTAACCATTATATTTATCTGTGTATACTATGACTTTTTTTCCTCCCCTTTGGATGCTTTTTAGACTTTCTTTTTATAACCAGTTTTGAGTAGTTTAATTACAATGTGTTTTGTTATGGATTTCCTCATATTTCTTCTGCTTCAATTTTGTTGAATTTCTTGAATCCATGGGTTTATAGTTTTTATCAAATTTGGGAAATATTTCAGACAACATTTCTTAAAATTTTTATCAACTCTTCTCTATTCTCTCCTTTGAGTACTTTACATATTGGTCACATGAAATTGTCCCACAGTTCACTGATGCTCTGTTTGTTTTTGTTCCTGTTGTCTTTTTTGTGTGTGTTTCAGCTCAGATAGATTCTACTGCTATGTCTTCAAGTCACTAATCTTTTCTTCTGCAGTATCTAATATAACACTGATCTTATGCAATATATTTTTTATCTCACATATTGTACTATGAGACCTAGAAGTTCAATTTGGATCATTTTTTCTATTGCATATCACTACTTAACTTTTAAGATATATACAATACTATTAAATATTAATTAATGTCTGCTGATTCTAACTTCTGTGTCAGTTTTGTTCAATTTTATTTATCTGATTTTTCTCCTTATTATGGGAGATATTTTTTAGCACTTTTTTTATGCCTAGTAATTTTTTGTTGAATGCCAAGCATTGTGGGTTTTACTTTGCTGTATGTTGGATTTTTTAATTCCTAAAAATATTATTGAGCTTTGTTTTGGATACAGGTCAGTTACTCAGAAACAGTTTGATACTTTGAGGCCTCGCTTTTAAGATTTGTTACGCAGAAGCAGAACAACGTCCAGTCTACAGTGAATTATTTCCATACAACTGAGTCAAGACCCTTCTGTGTATGCGACACAATGCCTAAGGAATCTTGAGGTTTTCCCTCGTGGCTAACGGAAACAAGCACTATTTCCAGCCCTGTGTGAGTATGGAGTGCTATTCTTTTTGATGGTTCTATCTCTGGCCCTGGTAAGTTTCCTCACATGTAGGTACTTATCAGCTCTTTTCTGAATACTTGAGGGAGTCCTTCTGTAGTTCTCTAGAGTTATCCTCCTGTGCAGCATTCTCTTCTCTGGTGTACTATCCTACAAACTCTGCCTTTTTCTCTCCCAACTTTCAACTCTGCCTTCTAAACTCAAGAGTCTGCCTGAGTTTCCTCTTTCTGTGCCATAACCTGGAAATTCTCTCAGGGTAATAAGATGGAGCACTTATAGGGCTCCCCTCATTTGATTCCAATTTCTGAAGGGTTACTCTTCTTCATTGCCTAAATTTTAGTGTCTTGAAATCTAATGTTTCACATATTTGTGTATTTTTGGTTATTTCAGGAACAAGAGCAAATCTGAAACTGGCTACTCCCTCTTGGCTAAAAGCAGTTCTCCACCTCTGTTACTCCATATTTGCCTTCTGCTTGTAAAAGTTAGGCAGCAGCCTTGTTGGCCAACTGAATATTTTCCTCTAAGGACACCAGGCTCTGTTATCCATCCTCTCAGTTCCCTGTAGGTCAAGCCACCATCACAGCCCTTCTGATCTTGCCAGTCTTTGTGATAATTGCAATTCTCTGACTTCTGATTCATTAGGAAGTCATCATCTTCCTAATGGTCCAGTTCTGCATCTGCCTCTCTGATCAGCGGCATGAATCTCCAGTGTAGAGGGAGCAATGAGTTTCTTGGGAGGCTGGTGCCCTTCTCACCAGTGTATTCCTGATGTTATTGGTGAATGGTGTGTCCTCTGGGTCCTTCAATGGAACATATCCTCTGTGGGTCTTCTGGCTTCATGTACTACATGTCCCTTTCCCTCAGGTTTTTTCCTTCTACCAGGGAAACTCAGCTATTTCTACTTCATCTCATTATGGACCATTGCTTTCTCTAGGTTTCTAGAGAAAGCCTAGGATTCTAGGCTTCTAGAAGCTTCCTTAGCAGGGAGTTTGTCCCATCTCCTCAGACTTTTGCAAGGGTACTAAATCTTACCTTCCAAGAAAGTGATGTCAATTCAATGAATTCTTATTTGTTCAGTTATATGTTCTGGACCTTTTGATCAAACACTCCCAAAATCCTACCCTAGAGGTACTCTCTTGCCTCCTGACAGTACATACTTGCCCATTCATGCAACTCTCTCAGAATGAGAACTCTTTCTCCTCTTGTCAGGCTTAGCATGCACCGAGCAGGTTTATACTGGCCTGTTATTAATATATTCATATAAAAATTGAAGTATTCCATACCTAATAAAGGTGCACAAATCCTGAGTGTCTTGATGGATGCAATTTTCATGAAGTGAACATACCCAGACATCCACCACCAGGTCAAGAAATGGAACATGTCCTTAGAGGCAAAATGGAACATTTTGATCACCAATCCAGAAGCCTACCTCATGGTACTTTCCAGTCAATGCCCCCCTTCTAAAGATAAGCTTAAGCCTGACTTTTACATCACAGGTAAATTTTTTCTGACTTTGAGATCTTTATAGGTGGAATCATGCAGTATGTATGCCTTGGTCTCTGGCTTCTTTGCCTCAACCAAGCTTGTGAGTTTTATCCATGTTTTTATATGATATGTAAGTATCATGTAAATATAATATGCAAATGTTTCATACATTCTCATTGCTGAGTAGTAACCCACTGTATGATTATATCACAATATAATAATCTCTTTTACTGTTTATGGACATTGATTTTTCCCGGTTTTGTGATATCACCAATAGCACTGTTACAAGCATTCTTGTATGTGTTGTTGGTGAACATATGAGCACATTTCTGTTGGGTACATATGAAACAGTGGAACTGTGGAGGTCTCAGGGTAGGTGTATGTGCATCAACTATATTTTGAAGCAAGCTGATGAATGGGATTTTTCTCTCTGACTAAGTCTCTGAGCTAAGTTCATCACAAGATAAGTGATAAGTGCCCGGTATTCTATAGAGGAGCTGCAGGACACACCCATCGGACTTTTTAAGAGGTGGCCTAATGGATTACCCACTAAGACCTAAGAGCATCCCCATTACCCACTCCAATCTACATAAGAAGAAGAGCAAATGTTTGAGAGAGATATGGGGAAAGAAGATGTCAGCTTTGAGAGTTGTCAGCCTGGGCAGAGAGCACTGTGATTCAGGAGGAGGGAAGGAGAGGGATGAGGCATGGAAGGCACACCAGCCATCAAGCATGGGAGGTTGCTAGCGAGGTTGGTTGCTCGAGAGACCAGCCTGACACCCATGGCTGGTGGCTTGCTGAGCTGTGGAGTCTGTGAGCCCCATTCCACCCTCAACTGTGATAGCATGAGATAAGAACCATCCTGAGAGTGTGTACTTGGGAGTTTATGGACACGTGGTCGTAGGCTGGGTTCTACCTGGAATCAGACTCTGTGCTAAAGACTCAAGTACAAGCAGTTTGAGAAATATTTCATATTTCTCAAAGTAGAAATATGCAGGATATGCTACAACTAGCAGACATGATGCCATCAAGACATCTTGAACCTGGCTACCTCTGATGGCCTGTATTTGGTCCACAGGAAACTCACCCAGTCCTGCTACAGCAAATTGAGGTGGTATAGGGTGCCTGCTGCTGCCTCTCTCTTCACCTTGCCACAGAAGGCTGCCCCAGCCTGACCCCCGCTTCCAGAGTTTCTCCAGGTAAGAAAAGGGCGTGTTATTCACCAATAACATCAGGATGCACTGGTGAGAAGGGCACCAGCCTCCCAAGAATATTGAGAAGTACGGAAAGGGAAGTGGGAAAATGAGAGAGGGATGGAAAGGAAGCCAATACAGAGCACATTAACAAGCAGGGACCACTGTGGGCAACTGGGGCTCAAACCCATTGATGACTATCATGCACACACCTTGTCCCAAGTAAAGGCAAAGAAGCTGGGGTATTTATCCACAGACTCCTATTCCTAGACTTGTCAGTTCCCCTGGTACATTGTGCAGAGCCCACAGGAAGAAAGTCACAGGTGCTAACAGTGACTTTCACCCCATGGAATATGACAGCAAGGAGAGGTGCATGCCTGCCACAGCTTACATGTACAGAGATTCACACCCTTTTCTTACCTGGAGAAACTCTGGAAGCGGGGGTCAGACTGGGACAGCCTTCTGTGGCAAGGTGAGGAGAGAGGCAGCAACAGGCACCCTATACCACCTCAGTCTTGCTGTAGCAAGACTGAGTGAGTTTCCTGTGGACCAAATACAGGCCATGGGAGGTAGCCAGGCTCAAGATGCCTTGATGGCTTCATGTCTGCTAGTTGTAGCATATCCTGCAAGAAAAGGGAGAAGGAGGAAGGTCCCAGAAGGTCAGCCAGAGAACAGGCAACCCACACCCAGAAATAGTGTCACACAGAGATCCTTCCTGAGAAAACCATGATGCCGCATGAAAACCAACACAAGATGCCACTCCCTGATGGAACTGATGCCTTGTAACAGCCCATCCAGGATGACACCTGTCCTGTCACCTCAGGGCTGACACACAGGGGACAGAACACCCACAATAGCAGATAAGAGGGCAAGGAGGGAGGAGCATGCCAGACAGTCCCAGCTCCCCAGCCTCCCCTCCTCCAGGGTTCCAGCTGAAGTCAGGCTGAGACAAAAGGAGGGAGGAAGACTGGAGTAGGCTGCAAGACTGGATTTGATAGAAACTGTGCTGGACATTTTAATACCTGAAAATGAATCAATTACAGAAGCTAACAGGAAAGCTAATCCATCCATCTGAAATATTAAGGGAAGGAGCAGGCAAGCCAGTTTGAAGGCAGTAGTGTATGAAGACTGATTCATAAATGGCTAACATTTCTCTCCTGCTCCTCCTCCTGTGTCTGAAACGCCCCTGTCCTCAGCCCACCATGGCAGAATCCTCTCTCTTCCCCAGACATAGGGTTTTCAGCTAAGCATCATCATCATCCCTCCAACCATTGCAATAGTGTGTTCCTGTGTTCCCAGTGGGGTGGGCCTGGCCTTCCCAGGACAGGCGCATCGCTCAGGCCCAACCAATCACAGGACTCCACCGCATCAAAGCTAGGAAGAAAAAGATACTCGCAGGATGTCCTGTGTTTTCTTACAGTCTGTATTCATCTATTGGGCATCCACTCATTGGGCCAATTGTATTAATAATATTTGCTTACTTTCTGTATTATTGATGCTCTGGCATTTGTGACCTCTTTAACTGGGGAGAAACTGCCTTTCCCAGGACTAGCTGATTCCTAAAGATAATAAAAAACTCACCTGTGTACACACCTTTCATATGCAAACTAACCAGCCCTGAGTCCATACCCCCAAACACCTCCTTTATTCAACTCTCACACCTCAAGGCAGTATTTCTCCTGCCCTTGTGCCCCAAAGCCTGCCAGAATTATTCAGAATAGCCAATTTTAAACTAACTACCCGAAACACCCACACCCAATGCCTTGCCTTGCCCAAGGAAACCTCACTAAAGACTCTGGCAAAGTCTTTCCCCTCACTTTCTCTGCCTCCTGACCAACGCTGATGCTTCTCTCTGGCCTCTTGTGGTGTGGCATGCCCCTTCTCTCATGAGCTGTTCAGTAATCAAGATCTTTCAATGCCATTGACTTCTTGTGTCATCATGCAGTCACCTCCGTGTATTAAAATCCTGCAGGTACACTTTGAGACACAGGGTACAAGGACCTTGAGAACGAGAGCTGTCAGGCACATCTTTACAGCCCCATGTAGAGAGCTGCTAAATAAGTGCCCCCAACCAGAAGGCAGCAGAGCTAAGAAATGAACACATAGCCACAGCATGGACCATACTTCTGTAGCAGCTGGGTTCATAGGCTTTACCCTGAGTGTTTTGGCTATATGAGCCACAAACAAAACAAAACAAAACAAATGGCTTTTTTGTGCTTTTTTTTTTTCTTAAAACTTTGCTTTAACCGAGCAAGATGCACTTTCTGATCTTTGTAGCTAAAAGTTCTGGCTAATGTCCTCTCTTCCCAAGTCCCTGATAAAGTCTCACCTCCTGCAGGGAGCCATCCCAAGTTACCCTAAAGTCCCAGTCTCTCCCTCCTCACAATGCCAGTTGCACCGAGGACCTTGTAACATCCATTACTTTCTCACATGCCATCTCATACTATTCTCTAACCATCCTGTTATTTCCCTCTGCTCCCAGTTTCTAGAGAGCAGAGGTGCTCTTTAGTCTCTTCCTGGGAATGCTCTTATGCCTCTAATAATTTTGAAGCCTCCCAGAAGTATCTATCTGTGATCCAGTCATCAATGGGCTAATGGCAGGTGATCTTCCTACCCCCACTTATCCCTAGATGTCCACACATGACCCCACTGGAGAGCCTACATATAAACCCAGCTGCAGTTTCCACCCGCCCTTGTCCAAAAATTCAAAGGCATCACAGTTTCCCTCTTGAATTCCCCTGAAACATCAAGAACAACATCACTTCTCAAGGTTCACTTGGGCTGGCTCACCAGCACAGGAAAGCTCTGTGTGATATGAGTGGAAATCCCTGAATGGACTAAGGCTAATGTAAACCCTTGTGGGTACCTAGTTCAGCTTTGGTTTCTCTCACCTTCTAACTGTTAATTATAGGAAGAGGAGGAGAGTAATGACACTACTTCCCAGCCTCTGTGATCTGGTCCACTCATGGAGAGGATGCAGCACTTTGGTGGGGTCACAGGATTCTGAGTTCGAGTCCTGGCTCTACCACTGCCTGACTGTATGTCTTCAGGCAAGTCTTGTCCTCCTTCCAATCCTTGGGCACTTTTGATCTGAAACAGGGCCATTAATAATCCAGACAGTGGATTGGGCATGGTGGCTCACATCTGTAATCCCAGCACTTTGGGAGGCCGAGGCGGGTGGATCATTTGAGGTCAGGAGTTTGAGATCAGCCTAGCCAAGAGGGTGAAACAGTGTTTCTAATAAAAACACAAAAAATTAGCCAGGCATGGTGGTGGGCATCTGTAATCCCAGCTACTCAGGAAGCTGAGGCAGGAGAATGACTTCAACCCCGGAGGCGGAGGCTGCAAGTGAGCCGAGACCACGCCATTGCACTCCAGCCTGGGCAACAAGAGCGAAACTGTCTCAGAAAAACAAACAAACAAAAACCAGTATGTTTATGTACATTTTGGCTTAACATAAAGCTAGAAGGGATATTTAAGAGAAAACTTTAAAAGTAAGACAACCTAAAGAAAAGTGTCAACAAAATAGAGAGTAGATGCAAGGGCAGATATAGCAATAATAACAATAAAGGTAATCGGTGATAAGGACAAGAGGCAAAATCTATTTGCTAAAAGTGAAAAGCAATGTTCATAATAAAAGCTTGGAACGAATATATCAAGCAAAACGGTACTTCATTTTAAGGTGTAAAGTACTTTCTCATCTATGATCAACTGGGCTAATCTCATGAGGTGAATGTTCCAGCTCTCCATCTTAACAAAATCATTAAAACTGAGGTTCAGAAAGACTAAGAGGTTTTCCTTGATCATGTCAAGGCAAAGCCAGGGTTATAGCCCAGACTGGTCTGGACACTACTTAGAAAAAAGAAAAATCGCACCTGATTCTCGGAGAATCATTCCAGGAAAAGCGCAATTCAGGCCGGATTCCTGTCTCAGCACCTTCTGTACTGAAGACATACCCCAAAGGTAGCTGGGATTGTCCTCTTAGGGCGACAGGGGGCACGTTCACCCAGATCCCCAACTCAAACATCTCTGCCTTGTGAGTTCAAATGATTAGCTGCTTCCAACCTGGGACCCTCTTCTCCGTCTATCCCTTCCTCCCCGACTCTGGGGCCCTGACATTCCATTGGAGTGGTAACTCTTTCACGGACGCAAAAAATTGCTTTATTTTTCACCACTAATTTGCCAACAAGCTCAGCCGTCCATCCAGTTGGCCTGAAATGAAATTCTATAATTATACAAAAGCCTGGGTCAGCGACCTCCTGATTGCAATATCTTGTCTCTTTTGTCCCTTCCTTCCACCACCTCGCCCATGGGACAAAATTGCTTCGGCTCCTCCGGCAGCCTCCGGAATGAGATGGTATTGGAAACTAGTGAGGCGTGGCCCTGCGGAGGTGTTCATAGCTTTGCAATAATTTACCCATTTTCGTTTGTTTGATTTCATTAACACCTGGGTCTCAGGGGAGAGCCCAGTTGGGAAGGAGGAGAAAACAAGTGATTTCAGTGGAAATCAAGTGGTTATCACTGCCTCGTCTTGCAATACCAAGGGAGTGTAAAATGCCAAGGATGGAGTGCTGTCTGAGCAGGGTGATGAAGGAAGCCTCTACTTAGAGGGAGCTTCTGCTAAAAGTCTTGTCTTTTATACTCCTCAGTCCTCAAGGGTCTCCTCTCTCAAACTCATCCCATTGACACCAAGGGGATGCCCCACACCAGTGCCCCTTTCTCAACAAGCCAGCCTTATTGGCCCATTGGGCTACTGGGGTGGCTGCATTCAGACAGCATGGCTCAGTGGTTAAAAGCATGGATACCCAGAACTAGGCTCTAATCTGGCTCCACCTTCTGCTTGCCTGGTAGCCTTGAACATGGAGCTTCAGCTCCATGAGCCTCAGTTCTCTCTTAAATATGCTGCTAAGTAACCACCCCACCCAGTAACGATGACAGCACTACCTCATAAAGGTTGCTGCAAGGATTAGCTGGGATAATGAATGGGAAAGTGTCCCTGAATGCTGTGTCTGACACATTGTGAGAGCTCAGTGGAGTGAGAAAGAACAATAGCAATGGTTGCCAGCTTTATGACTTTTTTCTTATTTTTCATCTTTACCATCATCATCACCATCAATCATCACAACCCACCTAGCCATCTCAGCCTCCACAGGCTCTCAGCAGACAGAACCTGGTCTCAGAGTGAAGGCTGAAATGCTCGCTGGGAGTGAGCAAAGTCCCAGGCCCAGCTTCCCAGAGAGAGACTTTGATCCAGTATAAGTCACACTACTGACCTGCATGGCACACCCTTTCTCAAAGGCATAAGAATTCTGGTGACTGTGTGAGGTCAGGGTGATGAGGAAGGACACGCCATTGGCTAATGGCATCTGATAGTGAGAGAGCCTTTTGTGGCCAGGCTGGATCTGTTCATTCTCCCAGTTCCCTAGAGCACCCCAGAGAGACCCCAGTGCTAGGAGGCAAAAGTCATTGCCATTTTAGCCTGCGGCAATAGCAGACAGTTGGAAACATCATTTTAGGGCGAAGGGTCTTCCAGGTGCCCGTAGAATCAGCAACAGGGAACATTAGAGTCTGCTTCCATCCTCACAAGAGGTTGCTCTGCCTGTAAAGGCAAGTCCTTCTATGC